CATGTTTTAAAAGAAGTTTGAAAAGATTACATTTCCTTTCTGATTTATTTTTTGAATTAGATTCTTATTTAAAAAGGACTTTAACTTGTAAGGAGAATGTGCTACGATTTAATCCTAAGGTAAAATTCTCATTTTAAATGCTTTTGATATATTCTTAATTTTTTTATGCTTGATGTGTATTTTCTCTTGATAACTTGTTTTTGTTATGTTTTAGTTATCTTTTTATTATGATTTTGCTTATTTTCTTTCATGGAAATTTCTTGATCATCCATTCCCAAATCTAACTTTTGATTAAATTTTATTGTATGATACACATCATACTATATTAGATTCACAAATATCATCAGAAATATGATCATTGTGCATATAATGGTTTATATTGATCAATTATTAGAGATCATACTATACGATCTACACCTTCGTACTTTACGATTCATGTAGTTGTATCCATTGGACAAATTGAATTTCGTTGGTACGACATAAAATAATGTATCGTACCATATGAATACATGTTCATACTGCATCCGATAAGTCAATAATTATCCATGTGACTCCTCGGGATGAACGCTTTATTTTTATTCATCTAATATGATTTTGATCATACTATACGATGAGACAAACTTTTTAACTAATAAGAATTGTATTGTATGATGAGGCCAACTTTTTGATTGATCAGACTAGACAAATTAGTTGTACTCGATCTTCTAGTACATTCTCATGATTATATGATTTGGCTGATTCTATATAAATAACCCAAACTCATGCCTTTTTCTTCACACTAATCCTTCAAACTCTCCTCCCCTCTCACTTAAGCTCTAAATATTGGCAATGCCTGGAGGCAAGTGGTCTCGAGCACTCATCGGGGAGTTCCTCCAGATGACAAGTAGATCCTTGATTTGTTGAGGTCGTTGATAAGGAGGCCTAAAATATACATAAGAGTGTTGGAATACTCCCTACAAAGTCATTAAATAGGAGGATCTAAACTTTCAAGTACTACTATTATTTGCCCATATCACTCTCACATTTATTCTTACTCTTGCATACTCTTTCAATTATGAATTTCTTTTTGAATTTTTTGTAAGCCTTAGGATAAAAAATGGCGAGGGTACTGCCCTCCAATCATATCTTAATAGGCAGCCAGTAGAGATTACCAATCAAGACTTTCATGATTTTCTACATATTTCCACTACTGGTGAAAAAACATCTTCTAGTTGCAAATCTTAATTTTAATTGGACCCCTTCCAACACCACTCGTAGGGAATCCAATCACATATATCACATAGCCCATGCAAACACCTTAGTTTAAGACGCCCACATCATCCATCACATACTTAGAAATTCTATCATTCCTAAAGTTGATGATTGAGTTAACATTACTCATGTTCTTTTTATTGCAACTTATTTCATAATGGATCAAATTAACTTCAAAGAAGCCAACCTTATTATCCGCTATCTTGAGCATTTGACTATTATTAGAGACCCCCTCCATAAGAGAATGCCCAATCTAACCTTAGGATATATCATTGCCTTTGTCCTAGAAACCAATTACAACTTCCAGTATCCAAAACCACCTAATCACCTCCTAGTTTACTACACAAATAGCTCAATCCAAATCCTTCACAATGTTCGTCACCGTATGTTCTCTATGTGGACAACAAGCCTATAACAGAATAGCGAAAACCTATTCCAGCACATGCTCCTATCTGCCAGCAATCTTAGTTTGATCAGCTGGTCCTAAGGTTTGATCAATGGGAGCTCCATTTTGATGCCTATATAGTTGAGAATCAATAACAACATGAAAATGACTTAGCCTGCTTCGATCAGTATGCAGCTCAGCAGCAACAATAACATGATCAGGATATAACATGGTTTGCAAACCAGTTTTCCACAATCCAAAGATACTTTTACGGAACACCTCCTCCACCTCCATCTGACCCGGATCCCTCTTTGTTTTAATTTATTTCTATTTAGTGACTTGTGCACTTTTCTTATTTATTTTAGTTTCCTATTTGTTTGATGTTATTTTCTCTTCTTTTTGAGAAGTCAAAAAGGGGAGCAGTGTTAGTAGCTTGTATTTTACTTTGAAATTTACAATTCCATTTTAATCTTTTTATTTTCTATGTTCTCCTGTTATGTGTTTTTATTTTAAAATAAAAAACAATATTTTGACACCTCCCAAATTTTTGAAAAATTCACTTAGTGAGGGGAATCTTAGGGAATCGTAAAATACTCTTGAATCATAAACTAATAATACTTGCCATCATAAAAAAAGAGAAGATAATTACAAATCTAGACCCAAGTCTTATGATTTTAATGATAATAAATATTATTGGATTTTTTACTATACTATTTGAATATATTACATATCTATTTTTTCCTGCTCACTAATATTTTAGGATCACAGCTGACTTGCAATCTCAATTTGCTCAAGACTGGGTAGATTAAGAGTAGTCTGTATTTTTTAATTTTTTTTGTACCTTTTATCTTTCTTGAGTCAAATATGTATTATGGTTTATCCTAAAGCTGAGTAACCTTACACACACACTCAAGATAGTGAGTTGATGAGTTAGAAAAATCTCTAATTTTGAACCAATCATATAGTTCGATTTTTATCATACTAGATGATCAGTTAATAAGAAAATCCTTATTAGGGCATCTATGCTAAGTATGATTGATTAAACTTATCGTACCTACTGTATGATCCTATCATACATGACGATTAGTTATAATCAGTAAAATAGTTGTCAATCATAATTTAAGTAATATTTTATTATTTAAAATCTTTGTCTAATTATACTGTACAATATGCATCATACTATATGATATATAAAAATCATGTCTAAATTGATCCTATGATTAGGGAAATAATTCTAGTTAATTTGTTTAGTCAAATCATACAACACGATGGGTGATGATTGTACTGTATGATCTGAGCAATACATGGGATGATAATTACAATGTCGCCTATCATCCAAGATGAAATGCCATAGTTTTTCTATTAATTGTATAGGATGTATCCCCAATTTTATACTGTACAAACCAATCTCTATATGAGATAATAATTACATCGTCACTTATCGTATATGATGATCAATACATTTGTTGAACTAATCATACTGTGCAATACATTTTGTACTGTTTAAAGAGGCTATTTTGTTTTAATCGTACTGGATGATGATCTAAATCATCATAGATGATCGGTTCATCTCTTTGAATTGATCGTACATGGTTTGTCTCCTCATATAATACTAATAGGAGTACTTTGAACTAATCGTATAAGATAATCTTGAGATGGTACTAAACGATCAGAGTCAGTAGATTGAAATTTAAGGCTTTTTGAGCGGCTCTCTATTTAAGCTTTCAGAAAGTCTTGCCTAAAAGACTTTTATGTTAAGGTGTTCTGAGTGGGAGTTAAGAGGTGCTTAGGAGATCTTTGGGAGAGAGAAGAGAGGGAGAGTTTTTACATGGGAAATTTGTGAGGGATTCACAAGGTTGCTCAAAGCAAGGTTCTTCCTCGTCTTCTTCAAGCTTCTACCTTGATCTTTTGGAGGCTTCAGGAAGATACTCTACAACACTAGTTCTTGGTTCTCTACCATCTCCATAAAGGAGAAAAAAAGATTTCAGGTTCTTTTCCATTACTAGTAGAGTTAAAAAGAGTAAGGTCCTTTGTCGCACCGAGTTGGTGGAGGAGATTTTGTAAGGGCTTCTCCGCCTTGCTATGGGGGCAAAAAGAGAGATGTTAATTTTAATGCAATACCTGAAATAGAGGGTTCTGAAGAGTGGACATAGATTAGTTTGGAACGAACTACTATAAAATTTGGTGTATTTGTTCTTATTATTTTTCGCACTTTTATTTTTCTGTGATTTATAATGTGGTTGACAAACTCTGATTTTCTGCAATTATGAAATTAATTTTCTTTCGCATTAGGGGATTAAATATTCTGTTTTGAGATATTGAAAAAGTTATAAAAAGATTTTATTTTTATTAAAAAAAATATTTAGATTACCAATTCACCCCCCTCTTGGTTAGTTTCGGCTTGTTCTTAGAGGTCTCACAATCTTCTCGAACATTAAAAAATTTAATACATACAAGTGGTCTTAGATGGGATTTCAGGTGCAAAGATAAATTCAGCTTCCATTATTAATTCACTCTTGTTAATGAACATGGTAATAGAAAGCAATAACTAGGATGTGGTAGATGACATGTAGAGGCAACATGACCAAAGTGGTCAACAAGTGATACCAAACAAATTGATGTTAGAACATTCCATCATGGAGGTGCCATACAAGTTGAATGAGGCATTGAATGCAAATGAATTCATATAAAGTTGTTAGATATTTATTGGCGGGGTTGTTTAGAATTGGAGATCAACACATGAGGCAATGTCATGCTAATCTAAAGTGAACTTGAATGGTAATAATAGTTGATCAAAATTGGGTTGTCATTAGATAATGTGGGTAGCTATTAATTGTGAAAAACAAGGCATTATAAGAAGACATTTAAATTTATATTCTAAGAATAAACAAGATAAGAATAATTTATTATTTTTATACAAGATCATGTTCATCGTGAAAGATAGGATATTATAGAAAGACGCTTAAATTTATTTTTTTTAGACTAAGAAAAAAATTTATTTTTATTCAAAAAATATTCTCTATTTTTACATTAAAATTTTATTATTTTGTTAAATATTTAAAATAAACTCATAGTTTATAAATAAATGGCTTGACGTAAATTGAATATAAATTAAACTAATTTTAAAAATAAAATCCAAGTAATTAATTTCACATTGAAAATACTTCTAAATTTTTGTAAAGAAATAGTTAATGAGAACTTTCAAATTTGATGTTAATAACATACAAATCAAAATTTTGATCGTAATTTTAAAATTTTAACAACAGAGATATCTGGCCCTAAAAAAAATACTAATTTATTAAATTCCAATATCAAATACTTTGTTTGGGCAATTGGGATGCCCGTCGAGACCTCAACATTTGGTAAATTGGGGTTTAGGCTTCGTTTGGCTAATTTTGACGTCTCACTACTACGTGAAAACCGTGCCGACTCGATACTTCATTAATTCCGCCGGTTTCCCTGCGGTTTTTTGAGATTTGGCACCGGGAGAGAGGAAATGGCGGAGGAAATGGTGTCAACTTCGACACCCTTGAGCCAAGTAGAGGATTGTGAAGACCCCGCCAAATCGCCCCCAAATTCTCCCAATTCCTCTACTCGAAAGGTACGCCAACCTTCCTTTACTCTTTCTGGCCCTCTTAGTTTCGTCGTATCTGATCCACCTTATTTGTTTTATGATACTGCTTCTTGTAGATCCATAATAACCTCTGAATTTTCTCACAAATAATATAAATATAATCCGTGCAAGTGAAAATCATTGGACTGAAGTCTCTGACATAATTTGCTGCTATTTGTTCACTATTTGATTCTTTAGAAGAGTGCAAAATGTATTGACTGGTTCAGGTAAATACAAGAGAATTGTGCTCAATAATGTTGTTGTCGTTGTCCAAGGAGTAGCGATACTTTGGTGGCATAAATCATGATATAGGGAATTGTCATTCATGACAAAGGTAGAGGCAGTTGTTTGGGAATTATGGTACTATGTATGGGGAAAAGTGGGATAGAGTGAGAACAGCTAGGATGGTCCCATAATTCTCCTAAGGGTTCACATATTAGAGTAAGAAACCCGCAAAGGAGGACCTTTGGATCAGTTTATTGAGCTGATGGAAGGTCCGCTTTTGCAGATGTTAATTGACTGTGGATAAGAATAAATTGACAGATGGATAAATTAACTAATAGAATAATTTAAGTTTGATTGTATAAGCGTACGTGCATTGTCAGGAGAAAGGATGATTCCATTAAGTTCCAAATAGCCGAGTTACACTCCCTGAGCCTCTTCCTTTTTGTTATAGTGCTTCTCATAATACAGTGGCAAGAATTCCACTCCATGGAAAAAGTGGGAGTATTGTATAATCGAGTGTTGAGAGGTTTTCTGTTTATGAGGCGAGGTATAAACCTCTAAGTGGTTTGAAGCACAAGTGATGTAGGACTACAATGCTTGCAATATTTTATTAAAAGCTTGCACAACTTATTGATTAGAGAAATAACAAATAGAACTATTAGCAAATAAAACGGTGAATCAAAACATAAGAGCAGTCACTTTCGTTTAGGCTAAGTTGCATATCAAGAGATTTGAGCCATCAAAATATCGTAGGAAAATAATATTATGCAAAGTAGTAGCTTTCAACAAAAATCCCTAATCTAACAATAAGATTTAGAAAACAATGAAGTGCGCTCAATTCCCTACGTTTACTAAGCTCGGCAGAATCGGGCAAACGCGTTCTGCATGACTACAATCAAATCACAAGAACAGATTAGATTTAAGAAATACGAGAGAAGGAAAATTAGAAAACCTTCGTCAACGATCGGTTGCAACACTCGATGATCTCAAGTTGCTCATAAATAGCTTCAACCAAGGTGTCCAAGATGCGTTCTATGTAGTCCTCAACCGTATGATCGATCCTCGGGTTGACGTCGAATAAGGTTGAATGGAGAATATGCATGAAGCCGTGTTCGTCGTAGACAAGTCCGTAATCAATGTCGGGATCAGCCATTCATGAATGCTAGATGATGATTCCTTCCAAAGATGGCTAGTAATCTTGAACTCCATTGAAGAGAAAGAAGTTTCTCGTCAACTTGTAGTGGGGGTGACTAGGTGCGGCCGGCCAAGGGATGGAGGCTTAGGGAGAAGTTAGGTTCAGATTTTGTTGAGGGAGAGGTGCCAATCAATCCTCTAATAAATCCTCATGCATGGAGTTAATTAAGAGGAGATGGAGAGAGGTAGGGGGCGGCTGTATGAGGGGGAATTAGGGAGATTTGTTTCCAAATCACAATGTTTGCTTTAGGAAAGGAAATAAGGATGTGTGGGGGTTATGAGATTTCGGCCAAGAGGATTGGGAGATTTGGAAATCTTTCCAGAGAAAAAAAGGGGGCTTTAGGAAATAAATACAAGGGAGTTTAATGAGGGGGGGGGGGGGGGGGGCGCGGCATGATGGGGCTAGGGGAATTAAATTCTAGGTTTCATGCTTGCTTAATTTAGGTTTAGGAATTAGGAAAGTGTTTAAATAAATCCAATTTGAATTTGAAATTCAAATAGATTTGAATTAATAACTTTCCTAAAATAGGTTAATTAAATTAGCAAAGAATTTAAATTTCAAATTGATTCCTAAATTAACTCCAACCAAATTAGGAAACCCAAGGAGGGTGTGAGAGGTGATGGGGCCGGCGGTTTTGGGTGGAAACCGTGGGTGGGGATGTGGGGGAAGGGGTCAGGTGAGCAAGGGGGGAAAGGGTTTGGGTTTAACCAATGGAGAGGAACTTATGTGGTGGTGGTGGAGGGATGTTAAGTGGCCGGCAGCAAGGTTTGGGAGAACCTTTACCGGCGGCTAGGTTATGGAAGAAGGGGTCAATGAGAAAACAAACAAAAGATAGGGAACCACGAACCCAATCATCTCCAAGGTTGGTGATTCGATCTCCCTCTCCTAGGGATTTCTCTCTCAAACGCTCATTCGATCTCACAAAGAAATCAAAAGGGAATAAAGCTTATCATTCATTCATTAATTAATTTGAAAAGAAGAACAATGGGGCTATAAATAGCCTCTTATAAGATTCAAAACATAAAGGACGACAATGCCTCTAGGGCGTACATATGACCTCCCTTAATAAAAGAGTACAACGGAAAACTAGAAGAAACAAATATAATATAACATCATAATAAGAAAATACATAAAACAAATAAAAAATGCAATGACTCAATCGTGGTCGTAAATCGACGGCCACGTCTCTGATAGACATTCCATGATCTAATGTCCCCATCATTCTCCCGGGGTGGGAGAAAGCTCGACTCCGTCGAGTAAGTGTCTCTGGTGCTCTCGTAGATCTCCATTGTATCGGGGTCAATCTGCTGCAACTCCTTGCGATCCAACCAAGTATCCTCTAACTCGGGCTTACCTTTCCACCTTATCAAGTATCTCCTTCGTCCATCTTCCATTGTGGATATGATATCATCACTCAGGATCGAGTCTATCTTTTCTGCCATGGGTGATTTGTGAATATTTGGTAGTGGAGGTAGGTTTGGGTTCTCATATGGTGGGGTCACACAAAGCTGCTGTATGAGTGAATTTGGTGGGTTGAAATCAGGACCTTCATATGCGACTAGATCTTCTATGTTAAAAAAGGGATTGATGTTGAATTCTGCAGACAGATCTACTACATAAACATTATCATTTATTTTCTTAAGTATTTTGAATGGTGCAGCTCTCTTAGCATGCAGCTTCTTAACTGTTCCCTACGGGAACCGTTCCGGACGAATCCGCACCATCACGGAGTCACCAACCTCAAAAGTTTTAAATCAACGTTTTAAATCCACATATAGTTTGTAATTATTATTGTTCTTTTTAATTTGTTGTGCAATTTCTTTATAAAGTTTATGCAAATGAGATCCAAATGATGATGCAGACTCAGAAATCCTATACATAGAACACATAGGTATAAGGTCTAGTGGCTGTCTAGGTTTGAACCCGTATACAGTTTCAGATGGACTTAGGCCCGTAGTTTGGTTAATAGAATTATTATAAACAAACTCAGCAGTGGGCAAAATGAAATCCCAGTCCTTAATGTGCTCCCCAACCAAAGACCGTAACAGGTTTCCCAAACTCCTATTAACTACCTCGGTCTGACCATCCGTCTGTAGGTGAAAGACAGTGGAAAATTACAATTTAGTGACCATTTTAATACACAGAATTTTTTAAAAATAGCTAGTGAATTTCACATCCTGATCGGATACAATGGTTTTGGGTAAACCATGTAAATGGACGATCTCATTGAAATATAACTTCGCAATGTTAGAGGCGTCGGATGATTTAGAGCAAGAAAGAAAATGAGCCATTTTGGAGAACCGATCAACTACAACACAAATGACGTCATTTTTATGGAGTGTCTTGGGCGGGCCTAATATAAAATCCATGCTAACATCCTGCCAAGGACAACTAGGGATAGGCAGAGGAGTGTACAGACTCGTGTTTTGCTTGCGTTGCTTGGTCAGTTGGCAGGTGTGACACCAACTAACCATCTGACCGACATCTCTCTTCAGGCTGGGCCAATAGAAGTGATACTCCATGGCTTCGATAGTTTTGTCCCGACCGAAGTGCCCAGCGAGGCCTCCGGCGTGGATTTCCCAGACAAGAAATTCCCTAAGGGAGGTGCTAGGGATATAAAGCCTTTGAGCTTTGAAAAGATAACCATCCTCTAATAAGAAATCGTCCATAAGGCACGTGCTGCATGTGGATAAGAGAGAGTAGGTCTCATTGAAGTCGGGGCATTCCAAATAGTCCCTCTTTATTTGGTCAAATCCCACGACTTTTGCTCTCATCTCAATGGTATTCATCATACGACAACTGAGAGCATCGACCGCTTTATTTTTAACTCCCGCTTTATGTCTAAGGGTATAGGTGTACTCCTGAAGGAACTCGACCCATCGACCGTGGCGTGCATTTAATTTCTTTTGAGAGTTGATATAACGCAGAGCTTCATGATTCGAGAAGATGACAAATTCTTGCGGGAGCAAGTAGTGTCGCCAATAATGAAGAGATTGGATAACAACGTAAAACTCTTTGTCTTTTTTTTTTTGAAGAAGTGCAACGTTTGCATTAATAGAACCAAGAAAAGAACTACATACAAGTATTCAAAGTATCACATTCCTTCTTGATCAAAATCATCAATATGGAAGGGATACTATCAAAATAAAAACTATCAAAGGAAAAACTATTTTCCAATGCCAAAGTAGCACAACAATTAGCTACTTTATTACAAGATCTATGGGCATGATGGAAAACTACTTTATTAAAATCATTAAGGAACAATACCTCATTTGTATCTCTACAATTAAGAGGCCAATTATTCTTCTTCAAAGAATCTTGAATGAAATGGATAATGTTGACATTATCACTCTCAATGATGACCCCCTTGCATTCCATCATCCAGCCTTTAAGAAAATTCTTCACCGTAAGGATTGCTTCCATTTCAAGTTGTGCCACATCCCAATGAATCTTCTTCTTGCCAAATGCACAAATCAGACGTCCTTTATGATCTCGAAAGACCCCACCAATACCTCCAAGATTAGAAGTAAGTAAAGAAGCATCTAGGTTGATCTTAATCCATTCTTTC